TTAAAAGTAGGGGACATTTGAGTTGGGACGTAAAAGATGTAGAGAAGATTACCAAGGAAGAAGAAATGGGAAGGACAGTCAGGTATTAGGCACTTCCAAAAGAGACCCAAGTACTTCTACTTTGTTCTTTCTTCCTTGTGTCAAGCCAGCCTGTTTCTAATTTTGCCCCTGCGGCCACAACAGAGCCAGACATCAGATGTGTGAAGAGAGCATTCCTGAATAATCCCTCTCCTTGAGAAATAATCCCCATTGTTTCAGATGTTCCTTCTCTCAAAGTGATTTCAGAACCTTTCACAGCCTTGCATTCCTCTCTTTTGAGCCATTCCACCTGACACTGTCCCTTATAAAGAGTGGTGCTCAGAATAAATCATAGGATTCACGGTCCGTCATGGGCATATCTCCTGCCACCTACCCTCACTCAGCTAACAAGCAAAGGTCAGAAAGACCTCAGAGTGATCTGTTAGAAGAAAGAATGCCAAGAGTATGGTCACATCACATTGTCCCCACCTGTCAGAAACAGTAAACTTTGGATTGCTAGGTCTTAAAACATTCTTCAGCTCTAGAAATGTCCCTGCAGAGGAATAGATAGGTTTATGCATGTTCTCTTTTTACCAGCTTTTGGTACCCCCTGCTGGTGAAATTTTGTGACCCAGTTGGCAAGAATCTCAGAACAGCTAGAGAAAAAATTCCAAGTTTCAGAAGTCAGAAGTACTTGGGTCTTGAAGGATCTGAAGATTCCATGAGTTATGTGACTATCCTATTTATCATGTAACCATTTTATGTGATTTAAAAAAAAAAACATTCTGTAGCTATGGCTATTCCATGGGCTTTAAGTGAAAAAAAATTCTGACTTCTGTAAACATTCCATTAATTCTGCAAACATCACAAGAATTTATGACAACCACCAGAAGAAAATGCTAAGTTGTCAGCCAAAACTATTCATAAGTAGAAATATTTCAGGTTACAAACTAATTTTGTGCAGGTTTTTCTTCCTCATTCCTTGTATGTATCTTTTTTTAAAGTGGTTATAATTTGCAGTCGGATTAGGATGGCAATTTTTGCTGCACTTCAAATTGTAGACTTTTAAATATAAATTTGTACAACAAATTTATTGAGCACTGGCTATGTGCCAGACACTTAGCAAGAAATTGGAGTAGGTGCAAGAAGTCAAAAGCCCTTCACCCAAGAGGTTCTTGCCCTCGTGGGTGGGAGAGTTGAATCACTTCAGTTCAACTAGACAAGTGCTTAGCTGACAAGGCAACAAGGCTTTCTTTGATCTGCTGAGAGGGCTCAAATTACCTATTGGCATGCTTCTAGCTCCACGCATTTCTCCTCCTTGGCTTTCATCACTTTCGTGATTTTATATTTGTTTCTGTATTTACATGTTTAGCATCTGTCTTTGCCAGTAGTTTTTTGAAGGTCAAGGTTGTGTCTGGCTCTTGTCACTGTGATCTTACATCTAGCAGAGACCGGTACCTGTAGGTGCTCAGTAAATATTTGTACAGCGGATAAATCAGCCAAGAAGAGAAAACCACAAATCTATTTAGAGGAGCAAGAGAAACCTCAAAGGAGAGGTGATGTTTGAATACTGCTGAGCCTTGAAGGAGGAAGAGGAGGTGGCCAATGGAGAAGAATGGGGACGCATTAGGGAATATAGAGTATTGAGGAATTGTTGGGGGATGAAGATAGGTAGTTGGTGTTTCCTAAGAGGAGGTGTGTGTGGAAGATAAGGCTGAGTTGAAGCCTAGAGCCATAGCCTTAGGGTCTTTCATGCCCAACTCATTGGCTTGGATTTTCCCCTCTTTTAAGGAAAAAAGGGGAAGGGAATCAGTTAAGCTCTGTGGTTATAGGAATAAACATGATTTTTCCTGTATTACCGAAAGGTTTTTTAATACTTAAATTTTCAATTCTAATAGAATAAAGATAGGTCCCAAAACTATGGTTTTTGTGTTTTATTTCCTTCTACATCCCTTCCTTCTATTTCCACTTTGTAGCTGTGTTTGCCAGTTGCCGAAACACCTGTCTATACATTTTTATGTAGAGCATCATCATTACCACGAACACATAGTGTCAACCATGGGCTAAATACTAAGCATGTCCTACTCCTGAGTTTTTACAACTTGGTTAGCTGTCCAGTTTTTAAATATCTATGTTTTGGAGAAACTCAGGTTTTCATTTTTTATCCAGGTTTTCAGAGCTACCCAAACATTTCTGTAAAATGCCATTTTTCATAGATGCAGCAAGACCTTTTCTTATTATTCCTTTGGAAACAAATGATTTGTGCCTAAGACAACTCTCTCCATATTATTTCACCCCTACTGGAATGAGATTGGTGGGAGTTCTGCCCCTACGGAAATATCAAAGCTACTAGTACACACTCACTTCTAGTTTTAAAGTTAACTTTCTTATTGGATTTCCTTTTATTTCCTGCTGGTGCAGTGTGAGCAGAGCTCAGAGAGAGGCAACGGATCTGCTGTATATCTTTTCAAATTTATGATTAAGAAGGTCACATATACATTTTTAAACACACTCCTTTTTGATAATAAATGAAGAATAAAATTTTGAAATGCCATCAGTAGTAGACCCACTCATTTCTCTTTCGCTGGTGCCCCCCCTGCCCCCAGTCTGATTGCCTGGCAATGGTGAGAAAAGGCCCAAATGATCCAGTGCTTCGCTCTTTGTTGTCTCTGTCTGCCAGGAGGATTCTGACTACTGGAGCACAATGCCTGTGGCCAAAACAGCCTAACCAAAACACACATTCCTTTTCCCGAGGGTCCTTTTTTCTTCAGGCCAATGGAAAAATAAGAAAAAGAGAAAGAAAGGAAAGAAAAAAAAGAAAGAATTCCATTTTAGGCTACATTTGTCTTCAAATTGTGGCCCAAATCAGGGAGATAAAATTCTCCTGTTGGGGGGCATTTCCTGGATCCAGATTCGCTCTTCCTGCCTCTCCACTCTGCTCTCTGCTTGCAGAGCTAGATCGACACAGGCTCCATGCCTCCGGCTTCCAGTTGGTTTTAGCCAATGAGAGCCGCTGTTCGGAGTTCAGGGGGAGAGGGGAAGATGTAGTCAGGGTGTTTATGTCTCTGGTTCCCTCCCTGGGAGGACCGGCTGGATCCCTTGAGAGAGGCTGCTGCTTCTGGGCCGGTGGTCTTCTCTTGTCTTCACAACTCTCTCCTTCAGGGTTCTGGTTGCTGCTTCTTCTGCTTGTCCCTCTGGACACATGGTGGCCAACAGCTCATCTGTCACTAGAGTGGACCTTGCGTCCCCCTTCACCCTTCTTACTTTTGGCAGTAGTCCTTTTGCACATAAACTCTCCCCAAATTATCCCCACTTGAGTGTGCCATCTGTCATTTTTCTGTGCAGTCTGCACCTAGATTGAGGGACCCATGTGTAGGGGGTTACTATCATACTATCAAACCAGAACTGATCGTAGATGAACTCCCCTAAAATACTTCTAGGTCTAGGGTTATTCTTTCGTATCATACCTCCTCTGACAGGGAGATCATTACCTCTTGAACTGCCTATTTTCGTGACCAAGCAGGCTCCATTTTGGAAAATTATTTCCTACATGGTGCTGAACTTGACTTGTCTGAGAGATCTGTTGTTTCCATGCTGAGGTAGGCATGATCAAGTTTGAAGTTAAAGCCAAGACCTATGGAAAACGGAGCAAGAGACCTGAGAATTTACCCCCCAGATATTTAATATGCCCATTGCCTTCCACATCACAGGAAAAAAATAACTATATTTAGAATCGGAAATGTGGGGAAATCTCAGAAGAACCATGTTGGTTTTTTAGAAATATTTGAAGAACTATTATAGGCAAGAGGTATTAGTCATATTTTTGTATTTCTAATGATCTAAGAACAATCAGTAGAGAAATAGATTTGAAATCCATATGGAGAACTTTGTAACCCTTCAGTTGCCTGGGGAGGTGTCAAAATCTCTATCACTTGATATTCAGGGATTTCACGGTGGGTCTCCTAGAATGAGGCTGGACCAGTAAGGATGACATAAAAACAAGAATAGCAGTTGCCACGTGTTGAATGTTCTCTCTGTGCCAGGCACTGTGCTCCATGTGTTTCGCACTTGATCCCATTTAATCATCATGACCCTAGGGGTTTGGTCTAGTTGTTTCCTGTAGTACATAGAGGACAAGTTCAGAACCTGAAGAGGCTAAAGAATTTGCTGGGGTCATGCAGCCAGCAGAGACAGGATATGAACCCAGGCCTTCCTGGACAAAACCAGTGGTTTTAACCTCCAGTGATGATGTTAGAATGACCTGGGGAGCTAGGTGGCCACACACTGACCTCGCCCTGCCCTGCCTTCATGAGCCAGGGCCTTTGTGTGCTTTTATCAGCTCTTGAAATGATTCTAATTTCCATTAGAGTTTGGGAACCACTGCTTTAAACTAGTATTATTATAAACACCATCTGGTTCTGAGGGTCTTTTATTTCTATGAGAATAGTTAGGCATCCAGTTCAGCTTTCAGTGTTCTCCTTTGAGCTACAATACTAACTACCCCCACCCTCACCCTTCACCAACCAACAGCCCCTACTTCAGTCTACCATTGTTTGGTGTGTTATTTTGTAATCTTAGTCCCTGAAAACATCAGACGCCATTGTGAATCTCATTCAGAGCCTTGGGAACAGAAAGATCAATCTGGCCTCTTCCCCCCTTTGGAAGGAGAGCAAGGGAAGCATCATGCCAAGTCTCATTGATTTCCCTTTTTAAGCTCAAGTAAAGAACATACCTATTGTTGGAGATGAGCCAGGATAAGTCTCAAATTTCTGAGTACAGGAAAGCCATTAATGATTTCAGGAGGTCTTAGGCTTATTCCACCTTGGCACTGAAGGACCCACCATGACTGTTTCTGGAGAATGATCCAGGTTTGGGGGTTGAGGATGATGAGTGGGGAAGAAGAGCAATCTGGTCTTCCCAATGCTTTAATACAACTGAGACCATCTGACTGTGATTTTTTTCCCCTTGCACATGTCCCAAAGGAAGCTGGCCAAGAAGCAGAAGGAGACACAGAGTGGAGCCCAGAGGGAGATGGGGCCTGTGGCCTCAGCCGACAAACCTACCACCAAGCTCAGCACCAGCCGCAATGATGAAGGCTTCTCCTCTAGCTCTCAGGACGTTAATGGATTCAGTAAGTTGAGTCAACTAAGGGGAAGGGAATGCCCATGGTCCAGCTTGACCCTGGTACCTCTGCTGTGGACCCCTCACAGTGGTCAGATGCTATAGGGCATGAGCTCAGGATGCTTCTCTGGGATGTTCCAAGAAGGTTCTCCCTGGCAGAGACTCAGGGCAGCCCATCTTGAGGGAAAAGGAGAATTTAAGACTGTCCCCCAAAGCAGGTAGAAGTGGGGGCAGGCCATCTTAACTACTTGTTTACAAAATTAATAATATTTTTTTTAAAAAAGAGGACATGGTTGTGCCCATAAGGAGAAAAACATGCCACACTGAATCGAGTGTCTTACAGTTTTCAAAACAGTGTTTCATATAAACTATGTAAGGTAGGTGCATCACAGATTATTACTGTCTCTGTTTTAAGTGCTTAGGAAACTGAGGCTCAGACAAGCAAGTTCTCCAATGTCCCAGGGCTGTTGAGTAACATATCCAGACCTGGAAGCCAGGCCTTCCAAGCCTGGCCAGGTCCACTGTGAAGCCAGTGTTTCCAAGCGCTGTTCAGTCGGGAGCCCCTGAGCCCTCATTCAGAGTGGATACAGGATCCCAAGCTGACAGAAGTGGCTAAGATTTCAGGACTAACCGTAGTCCAAAGGAGAACCACAGGACTGGCAACATTTAAAGCCACTCAAGAGAGCTAAATTTTGTTCTCATCTTTCTTTAAGCCCGTCTTTTTCCTGGCCTTAATAGAAATGCTGGATCCCCCAGCCTCTGCTCCAGATTGGGGAATTCAGAAACTTTAAAGGACTATGAGCATAGACAAATGTCCTCCACACACTGCATCAATGGCGAGTGGAAGAAACCATAATGTATAAAAATCACATAGATATGATCAATTTGGGGTGGTGAGAGCCCATGAGAAAATGAAGAAAGAAAGGAAACAAATATTTATTGACCATCTTTGTCCGCTCCATGTCCTCCTGTAAGATACTTTGTATGATTGGTCCCCTTTTGTAGATAAGGCATCCAAAGTTCCATGCATTTGGCTGACCTTCTCAGAGTGACCTAGCTAATTCCCGATGGATCCAGGTTCTGAGGGTAACCCAGACCCATGATTGCAAACCTCATGTGCAGCACAGAACCCATCTGAGAAAGTTTTCAAAGAACACATATGTAGGCTGTGCACCTTACCAACTAAATCGAAATCTCCTGAGAGAAGGAGGGGGAGGGAGATGAGGGGTAGGGTAGGATGTGGATTTTGTGAAAGCCATTTAGAGGGTTCTTAGAGACACACTGGTTAAGAACCCTGAACTTTGAGGGAAGCAATAGCCGTTTTCAAATATTGACATGCTGCCTTAGGAAAGAAATTAGTTTTACACCTATAAAAAGGTTGAAAAAATAGTAAAATGAATACTCCGATACCTTGTACCTAGACTCACCAATTATTCACATGTACTCTCTCTCCGTGTGTGTGTGTGTGTGTGTATCGATATGTATATCTATATACTGATGATAGATAGATAGATATAATTTTCTGAACCATTTAGAAATAGGTTGCAGACATCATGACCCTCTATCTCCAGAGAATTCAGCATGTGCTTCCTAAGAACTAGGACGGCACTTCAACATAACCACTCTGAAATTATCTTACCCAAGAAATGTAACCTTATTTCGGTATCTAATATACCGTCTACAGTTGAATTTCCTCAGCGGCCCCCACATTGTTGTTGTGGTGGTGGTTTTAATCCAGGGTCCCGTCAAGTTGTTCACATTATATTTGGTCATCATGTCTCTCCATCACCTTTCACCTAGAATGGCCCTCCCTCCTTTATTTTTTCTTTCAGGCCACTGACATCTTTTTTAAAAAGTCTAGGCCAGTGGTCCCATAGGATGTGGCACAATCCAGATTAATCTGATGTTTTTTCATCACGATCACATTCAGGTCAACATGTTGGCAAAAATTTGACCTAGATGGTATCATATACCCCCCTTTGCGTTGTATCAGCAGACAAACGCGATCCCGTTGCCTGTTGTTGGCCGCGCTGAGTCTGCGCACCTCTTAAGATTGTGTAATAGCTTTAAAGATAAAATCTAACATTGCACACTGATTATTTCATGAGCAAATATTTAACTTCCGTTTTCCTCAGAGAGCAGAGCAAGTTTATAGTCTGCCTACCCACGAAGCCAGTCCTCTTTCCTTTCTCAACGCAGATGAATCGCAGGGATCCATACCTTCCCTCAGGAAGGGGAAAAGGGGAGAGTGTCATAGGCGTCCAGGAGAGGCAGACAGGGAGTTGACAGGGAAGTGGGCTCGGTGTGTCCTTACAGAAAGGTCCATCCAGAGCTCCCTGAGAATCTCTGCCTGGATTAACCTGTCACAGATTCTCCTGCTTTTGGCCCAAGGGCCAGGAAGTTCAGTAGCAAGTCTAGCTGATAGAATATCCTGGCCAAGTGATACCCATTCACCCAAAACCTGTCCTGGCTAGGCCAGATTCTTTTTTTTTTTTTTTTTTTTGTTTATAGTTTATTTCCATTGTTGAGAATGGGACATTTTTTTTATTAATTTTTTTATTGTTATGTTAATCACCATATATTACATCATT